TGAAAATGGCTGGCCTTTTCTACACCGGCAGACAAAGGCCTGCCTCTTCAAATGAAGACAGGATGACACAGGCACGTCTCTGTTAGCCCTGGGTTTCACAGAATAACTTTTTGTCTGTGTCCCACTAGTCTGGGTGCAGCCATGTTCCCAAGAACGCTCCAGAGAGTGCGATGTGCTCTTGCTGCAGGGCAGCGTTTGTCACAAGAAGGAGGCTGACGTGCATTGTGTGTACGCACACAACATCATTCTCATAGTTTCTGGAACACATCATTTTATCTTTCCTTCCCCTTGCCCATCTTTTGCTATTGTCCATCTGACTGATGTTATATTGCCAGGCAACCTCCCGAGATATGGTAGGAACAGATGTCCAGATGAAACAGAGCAGCCCAGCATTCTGTTATAGAGCATGTCGTGGAGCAGACCTCCACAGGCATGGGAGGTTATAGTGTGAGGTACCTTTGCTATTGACCAAGGGGCTTGTTCTGGGTAGTGTACTTTTATTTTTTTTATATGAATAACTCCATATGCTTTGCAAGGCTGTTAGGACTGTCATTTTATTTATATTCTCTTTCTCTTCCTTCTTCGTTTGGGACCAAACTCAGGGTCTCATGGATCCTAGGTGAGCAAGCTATCACAGGACCACACCTCAACATTGAAGTCTGATTACTGAACTTTATTATTATTGTTATTGTTACTGTTGTTGTTATAAGGTACCAGAAGAGAAGAACTTCTGAGAGGCCTGAATAAGGCCTGTCCCAAGCAGGTTAGAGAGAAGCAGCCACAGCCTCCCATTGGTTTGAGTTTTTACTGGCAGAAGAAAAAAAAAAAAAAAAGGATTGTAATGCAATTGTGATGTGTGTGTGCCGAAAGCAAGTATTGTTTACAGAAGCAGAGACAGAGCAGCTAAATTGGTCAGATGGTTAACCTTTAGCTCAGGGTCACATTGTATGGGAACTGATTCAGAGACCAGTTTATTTTAGGAATTTAGGGCTGTTCCAGAGACCAGTTTTACCCAAGATAGCTTTAGCACTTTTAGCATTCTTAGGAATATTTTCCTGACATGACATAGCTAGAGTCCAGTAGCCTACTACAGTTAGCATCCTCCGTGATGATATGGCAGGTGGACATTTTTCCATCTAATAAATAATTCAAATACATCAATGTGTCCTATAGCTTAATAGTTAATATTACTACAGCAAATTACCATTGAAGCCTAGTCTGCCTTTGCCAAAAGAGAATAAGAATAGGTGTTTTCTTGTCACTGTATGGAATGCCTAACTAATGCCACTTAAAGAAGGAAGGTTTTATTTTGACACATGGTTTCAAAGGATCTTAGTCCATCATGGTCAGGAAGGCACGGTGGGAGTGGTTTAGTCAGTCCCTGCTGATGGGAGCATAAGCTGGCTTATTACATCGCAGCCGGTAAGAAGCATAGAACAGTACCAGAAGCAGGTCAAATAATGCTATAACCCCCAGGGACCTGTTTCTCTCACCCAGAATTCTTATCTCGAAGGTTGCCAACACTGTCCAAAACATCAACACCAACTGATGACTAATTGTTCAAACCCAAAAGCCCATAGGGGATGTTTGACCTTCAATCTATAACACTGTCCATGTTAGAGTAAGGCTCCTTATGAAGGCATGTAGCTGGGGAAAGGAGGGGTTTCAGTGAGGTTTTCTGCCTTATGTGTATTTGGGCCATGACTGTGCATATTGCTGATGGAATGGCATATGTATGCTAGTAACTTAGCAATTCTTTCCTTCTCACTTTCCCTGCAGTTGTTCAAATATTCACGAAAAGACTTTTGTGGTTGTATGGTAAATGCTTATTATCTTTTCTATGGCCAATTTAAGTTCTAGAATCCTGGGCTAAGCTTTTTTTTTTTTTTCTTGCTGTCTTGGATTTTATTTATTATTTTTTAATTAATATTTTTTATTTTTAAATAATTGTATACATTCACTTGTATCCCAGATGTAGCTCACTCCCTCTTTCCATCCCAGTTCTCCCCTCCCTCCCTCATCTCCTCCCCACCCCCTTTCAAGTCCACTGATGGGGAGGTCCTTCTCTCCTTCCGTCTGGCCCTAGCTTATCAGGTGTCTTCAAGATGGTTGCAATGTCCTCATCTGTGGCCTAGCAAGGCTGCTCCTCCCTCAGGGGGAGAGGGGAAGCTCATGAGTTCATGTCAGAAACAATTCCTGTCCCCCTTACTAGGGAACCTGGGCTAAACTTTGCAATCAGTTTCATAAGAATCAAATTTTAAAACGTATACGGAGATTTCAATCTCCATTTCTTATCAAATTTTTTCTTTGCTTATTTGTTCTATGACCTTTCCATAAAGGCAATATTTTCAAAACCCTTTTTCCATTAAACCCCCTGCATTAAGTCACCTTCAACATGTCTGTGTTCTTGGCCATAGCTAAAACCTGCTTGGAAAGGAGATTTCTGGGAGCATGTCTCCTGCCTTTAGCTCTGACCCAGCACTGCAGTGCAGGTGCAAGGGTGACCACAACGTAAGCTGAGCACACCCAGGAATATTGTCCACCAAGTACTTACCATGCAAGCTGAAAGCGCCCGGATGTATTCCCGCTTGACCCTGAAGTGCTTGTTCATAGGAATATGTACAGGCTCTCCAAATGAAACCTCTAACTTCCCCTTGCTCGTGAAAGCATGGCCTTGCATCATTTCTCAAGCTCTCCTCACCTGCTGCATGGACTCTTTCTCCACGCTCTTATCTCTTGGCCATGCTTGTTTTGACTTTCTGTTCATGTGATACAGACTCATTGTGTTGGATTTTTTTTTTTTTGGAGGGGGTGGGTGTTGTTGTTGTTGTTGCAGTGGTTGCTTTGTTTTATTTTCTCTCTGGTGTGTTTTAAAAACACAGTATAGACTTGTCACATTGAATGTTTCAACTTTTATTTTAAACTGAGATCTGCTATCATTGAGCAAATTCCTGCATTTCTCGAGAAAGCATAAAACCCACATTATACAATTATACTAAGTTAAGAAAAACAAAATTCACACTTTTAGATATGAGAGGTGGTAAAGCCAAACAACATAGTTTAACTAAGACTGCAAGAATTAACATGGAATTATAAATTTTACTCCTGCATTGCTCATTTGTTTATTTATTCTATGTAGTGTTTAATACATCAAAGGTTAGGTGTAAGACAAATTGTCTGAATCCTCAAATACTCACAAAAAGGTGACAGCTTGGAGGTTGATACAGTGATCACCAGGGGCTTAGAAAGACACAGTGACACGGATACTGTGTCTTCTTCATGCAAACTAGACTGCCAGTCTGTGCTTGATTTTGAGGGAGAGAGTAATGTCCATCCCCATGTTTTTCCAGTAGCTAATCTGTGTTGTTCCTGCATTTACGAAGACTGAGTTTCCAATTAAGGGGACAGAGTTTGGCTGCATCTGAGGCCAAACATCTACTGTATCCTTTATCCATCACCCTGAACAAACTACAAGTCACAAGTTTTAAAACCCTAATTTTGAAAAATTACAGAGGACTCACACAGAAGTGAAGTTTTAAAGAAATATCTATAGAATGCTTCCCACAAATTTGAAGACTATGAACACATTCCAGACACTTTTGAAGACCACAGCAGAGGCCCCTTTCTGAGGCTGCGGTGGTTATGTTTCAAATGCATGACTGACGGAAAACCTTCTTTTAAATAATTCACTGTTATTTGCAACCAAGGCACACAGCCTCTAGATTGACTTTCTCAATTAATACTTGAAAATTATCTCAATTTTCCCACAGTTATGAGAGTCAAGAAACCAAATCCCATACATCAAAATCCGAAAGGGATTTAGCCTCCCTCTTGAAGGATACTCTGAATATAAATTACTGAGAAATTGGCTGAGGTGCCAAACTAGGTAAACAAAATATGCTGGCAACACTCTGGTTACATAAAACCGAACTTTCCCATAGGAAAAAAAAAAACAAAACAAAACCTTGAAAATCATGTAATTCCTTCCCGGGAATCATCCTAAACACAGTGTTTAAAACAGTGCAATCACTGAGGAGTCTGGTCATCCCAGGCCTCCTGTCTGAGGCGTGAATTGTAGACTCCTCCAAGTTGGTCGACTATAGAGAGAGATAAAAGTAGGTGCCGGCGGAGCCTTGTGGCAAATCACAAACAGATGTTCCCCAGGCTCTCAAAGGCTTCCTTCTAGAATTGAACAAAGCTTAGGAGTTCCCTGTGGTTAGAACAGAGGCAAGTGTCCAGCCGAGAAAAACCTAGAGGTGCAACGCCATTCCCATGGCGGGATCTCGCCGAAGGGGGGTCCTGGAAGAATATCCAGGAAAGGGAAACCGAGGACGGAAGAGGTCGCATCTTTTATTTCTTAGTCCTCTAAGTAAGTAGCCTGTGAGATTAAGACATGTATTATTTACAGAGTTCTTGGTGCTGAAAAAGTGTACACACTACAACAAGGGAATTATCCACGATGGCCACGAGGCAAGAGGGAAGCTTTGAAGTGCTTTACAGAAGCTACATAGGCCCAAGATGTAAAGAGCCGCGACCCCACTGCAAAAGCTGCTCTCACACCCTCTCTGGTTCCCTGGCTCCTCTAGAGGGCGCCGGAACCTCGCTCTCTGGCGATTTCTTTGGACGCTTGGCTCCTGCAGCCTCTGTGACAGTCTTTTTAGGGTGAAATCGGGAGATGGAAAGAGGAAAGGTTGTGAAGCCGACGGAGTGGGTGGTTATTTCTATTCTTGCTGGTCATAGCTAGGTTCCAGCCTCCTTCACCCACCACACACATACACACCCCTCTCTAGTCAGGCGTGGCCTTGACCTTGTTCCCAGGCAGTGAGAGTGCACCTAAGAAGGGTCAGGGTCAGGCTGTTTACCAGCGTGATCAAAAACACTGGCATCCATCGTGGAAGGCAAAGAAGGAAAATACACAGGCCAGCGCTGGAACACCGGCAGGGGGCGCCTGCGACAGTCTAGGAGCCTGCTCCCAGAAAGAGTTAGACTCTCAACAACACTGTCCTGCCACTCACCCTAAGGTCAAGGGTCAAGCCCTGCTCTCAGCTGTAGGAGGAAGCCAGGGCGGTGTCCTGGCCCAAGCTGTCCTCGGCTCGGTATTCCCTGGCCCCACCTCGGGACTGGGCAACTCCGGGATCAGTTCTGGGTAGGCCCTGCGGGTCTGCAAGCCGGGACGGGGCCTCACGAAGTCGGGGGCTGCTCCCGGGGTTCCCGTGAACAAGGCTCCACCCTCTCGGATGGAGAGGGTATCAGGCGACGGCGCGGCAGGACACCAGCTGCCGGAGGCTCCTGCGGAAGCTGTCGTCCAGGAAGGCGTAGAGGAAGGGGTTGAGGCAGCTGTTGGCGTAACTCAGGCTGGTGATGAAGTAAGAGATTCCGATGACCAGGGGCGTTTGCGGGAGGTCGGTGGTGAGCGCCACGATGGTGCTCAGGTGGTAAGGCGTCCAGCAGAGGAGGCACACAGCCAGGATGGCCGCCACCAGCAGGGTCACGCGCTTCTTGGCACGGTCCAGGGCCTTGGCGTGGCTGTCCAGCTGGATCGCACGCAGCCGGCACAGCAGGGTGGTGTAGAGGGCGCAGATGGCGGACACCGGGATGGCGAAGCCCAGCACCAGCGTGTACAGACGGCTGGCGCGCCACCAGAAGGCCTCGGGCTCCGGGAAAACCAGCACGCACTGGCGCCTGCCCTGCTCCTCGTCCAGCTGAGCGAAGACGACAAAGGGCAGCACCACCAGGGTCACCAGCGCCCACACCGCCAGGCTGACGGCACGCGCAGCGCGGTACGTGCGCCCGGACACTCGCCGGGACTCGGCGGTGGCCAGAACCACCAGGTAGCGGTCCGCGCTCATGACGGCGAGGAAGTAGAGGCTAGAGAAGGTGTTGTACTGGTCCACGGCCACAATGAGCTTGCACATGACCTCCCCGAAGGGCCAGCGCCTCAGCAGGAAGTCCGCGATGTTGATGGGCAGCACGAGGGTGAAGAGCTCGTCGGCGATCGCCAGGTTGAGGATGAACACGTTGGTGACGGTCTTCATGCGCGGCGAGCGCAGGAGCACGTAGAGCACCGCCGAGTTGCCCGCCAGTCCCACCACGCAGATCACCGCGTAGACGACGGGCACTGCCACGGCCAGCGGCTGAGGCAGCGGCAGAGGCTCCGGGTTCGACCCGTTGGGACAGCCCTGAACCAAGTCGCCGCAGGACGCATTGCCCCCGCCGGGCTCCAAGAGCGACGAGTTGTGCATCTCGGCGAGGGCAGGAGAGCCAGAGACTCCCCGGATTCCACCGGGCAGCCCCGCGGGGGTCGAGGTCTGTTAAGTCCTCTTGGATCAGCACCCGGGAGCTGCCTGCGCCTCCCAGCCACTGTCGAGCTGAGCACCGGAGGGGGCGTTCCCCGCCGGCTGCTCAGCTGCGCGGATGGAAGCGGAATTGAAAAGCCAGGTTAGAATCCTCCTCCTCGAGGTGTAGCCTTAGGGAGGAGCGGGGTCCGGAGTTGGAGGTGGGGGCAGCACCGTCCCGAGCGCTTCCCTCCACCTGTGGAAATCTGATCCCAGCCCACTGAAGGCATCAAAGTGGCATTCGGAAGCCTCTTGACTCGTAGGCAAACGGAAATTCGCCCCACGCGCTGTTCTGGAGCACCAGGGTCACCCCACCGAATTCTACAGAGGCAGGTTTCCGCGCACCCCAGATAATAAGACGTCCAGCAGCAATCTTTATCTTACCTGGCTGGTCCCAGAAAAAGATCTGTGTTTTCTGGGGAGGTCAGGGAAGGGTCCCACTGTTGGCAGGAGGATGCGAGAGCGTGCCCGCCAGCCTGGTCCGCCTCCTGGTGTCAGCCCACAGGCTGCTTCCTGAGCCTCCAGGAGTCCTCGCAAGAGCCTGGAGCGCAGAGGGCACATAGCCACAGTGACTGTGCTCTGTCGGCCTGACACCCCTGCCCACTCCACTCCTGACCTAATAGTAAACAGCAAACCCCAACGGGCTTTTTTTGCTGCCTTCCTGGAGTTTTAACTTGCTCAGTTGATCTGGAATCACGAAAAGCTCTCCTCCTGTCAGCAATTGAATCTTAGAATAACAAAGTTAAAATGTTGATGTTCTGTTTTTAAAGGACAATTGGAGACGAGGCTCCTATGCCACGTTTTATTTTTTTATTATATATTTTGTTGAAGACAATTTTTAAATTTAAATATATTTTGATCATACTCTTCCTCTTCCCCGAGTCTTCCAGATTCTCTCCCCCTCCCTACGCACCCAACTTTAAGTTCTTTCTCAAAACAAACAAAACACAAAACAACAAAACACCCAAACCCAAGAAAACAAAAATAACAGCACCCAAACTGAAAGAAAGCCCACCAAACTGTAATCAAATAAAAGCGTGCACACACACACACACACACACACACACACACACACACACACACACACCATGTAGTTTGTCAACTACTCCTGAACATGAGACACTCTCTGGAGTTGCTGATATACTCAGAGTCACTCCATTAGAGAAAACTAATTTCCTCTAGGCTGAAACGTTGGGTGAGCTGAGGCTGAGGATGAGGGGGCAGTGCTGGAGATCTTGCCCTGGTGGTGTGGGCACAGTACCTCATTCCGATGTCCACCCTGTTTGCCTTTCTGAATGAGGACTGAGCATCTTACCCAGGGTCCTCCTTCTTGATTAGCTTCTTTAGGTGTACAGATTTTAGTGTGATTATCCTATATTATATGTCTAATATCCACTTATAAGTGAGTATATACCGTGTGTGTCTTTCTGCTTCTGGGCTACCTCACTCAGGATGATCTTTTCTAGCTCCCACCGTTTGCCTGCCGATTTCATGATATATCTGTTCTCTCTAGTCCCTTCCTCTACTCCCACCCTCTGTGGTTCCGTGAGTTGTAGCATGATTATCATTGACTTATAAGTGAATATATACCATATTTATCTTTCTGGTTCCGAGGTTTCTTATTCAACATGGTTTTTCCCCCTAACTCCACACATGTACCTGAGAATTTTATGATCTTGTTATTTTAAACAGCTGAGTTACGGATACTCCACTGTGTAAATATACCACATATTCCTTATCTATTCATCCTACAGCTAGGCTGTTTTTAATTTTGTCTGTTATGAATAGAGCAGCAACAGATATGGTTGGGCAAGTGTCTTTGTGGTACAATGAAACATCTTCTGCATATATGCTCAAGATTGCTATAGCTGGGTCTTGAGGTAGATCAAGTCCCCTCTCCGGAGGAACCACCACACTGATTTCCACAGTGGCTACAAAAGTTTGCCCTCCTTCCACCAGCAAATGACTCTTCATCCCTCTCACTCCACATCCTCGACAGCATGAGCTGTCACTTGTTTGGTTGATCTTAGTCATTCTGGCAGGTGTAAGATGAAATCTCAAGCTATATTTGGTTTGACTTTGCCTGAAGGCAAAGGATACTGAACATTGTTTAAGTGCTTCTCAACCTTGGAGTTACCTCTGTTGAAAATTCTCTGTTTAGACCTATACCCCATTTTTAAAAATTTGTGTTGTTTTTCTTATTGTCTGTTTTCTTGATTTCTTCATATATTTTGGATACTAGTTGATAAATAACTTTTCCCTTTCTGTAGGTGACTGCTTAGTCCAAATGATGGTGTTCCCTGAAATTTTTATCATTACATGTCTCTTACTTGCTTTCATTGAGTTATCCCAAGATATCTTATATTATTTGAAATTATTTGCAAGATGTTGTTTCCTATACTACTCCTGGGTATACACCCAAAAAATACACCACCATACAACAAGGACACTTGCTCAGTTATGTTCATAGCAGCTTTATTTGTCATAGCCAGAATCTGGAAACAACCTAGATGTCCCTCAGCTGAAGAATGGATAAAGAAACTATGACACATTTACACAATGGAATACTACTCAGCAGTTAAAAACAAAGAAATCATGAAATTTGCAGGCGAATGGATGGAACTAGAAAAATCATCCTAAGGGAGGGAACCCAGACTCAGGAAGACATGATTGGTATGTACTCACTTATAAGTGGATTTTACCCATATAGTACAGGATAAATGGCAAGGCACAGACTCAAGGAAACAAGTTATAAGGAGGACCCAAGGGAGGGCACATAAATCTCACTCCAAAGGGGGGGTAGAATAGCAGTGGTAGAAGAGAGAGAACACAGTAGGGCTGCACGCGCAGAGAAATATGAGGCTGGAGATCAGACCTGGAGAGACCGGGGGCGAGAGGACAGTGGCTCGTAGAGAAAAGAGAAATGGAGGGTTGAGGCATCTCTGTGACCTAAGTCAGGGTAGGCTCCTGGGAGGATATGAGGGGGGCACAAGCAGAGACTCCTAATAGCAGAGGCTGTAGAGACTGAAGTGGACACCCTCTAACTAGACAAGTCTCCTAGTATAGGGAGGGGAACACCAGCCCACCCACAAAAACGTTGACACAAATTTCACCCTGCCTACATGATGTGCAGTGATGAAGATAGAGCAGAGACTGAGGAAATGCCCAATCAATGCCTGGCCCAACCAAGCTTGCGAGGCTGAAGCATCAACCAAGAACCATGCATGAACTGGGTCTAGACCCCCCTACAAAATGTAGTCAGTGGGCAATTTAGTCTTGATGTGGATCCTCAAATAAGGAAAGCAAGGTCTGCATCTGACAAGGACTTTCCTGCCAGCTTTTTTTTTTTTTTATCATTTCCACCTGGCAGGACTGCCTTGCCAGGCCACAGGGAAAGAGGACATGCTCAGTCCTGATGCAACTTGATGAACTGGGGTAGACAGGAACTGGGGCTCCCTTTTTCTGAGGAATGGGGAAGTGAGGAGGGAAGAGAGGGAGGACAGGACTGGGAGGTTAGGTGGAATGGGGCTACAACCAGGATGTAACGTGAATAAAAAATAAACTTAATGAAAAGACAAGAAAGAAAGAAAGAAAGAAAGAAAGAAAGAAAGAAAGAAAGAAAGAAAGAAAGGAAGGAAGGAAGGAAGGAAGGAAGGAAGGAAGGAAGGAAGGAAGGAAGGAAGGAAGGAAGATGTTGTTTCTCTGATCTATTTCTCAGACCATTTGTTATTCCTGTCATTTGAGAGCTCCTAATTTTTTTGACTTTGCTGAAAGTATTTATCAGCTGTAGAAGTTCCCTGGTGGAATTTAAGTATACTTTCATATCTGCAAATAAAGATCATTGACTTCTTTTTTTTTTTTTTTCTAGTTTGTATCCCTTTGATCTCCTTCAGTTGCTTATTGCTCTAGCTAGGACTTCAAACACTATATTGAATAGATATGGAGATAATGGACAACCTTGTCTTGCTCCCGATTGCTCTGATTTTCTCTTCATTTAAGTTGATGTAAGCTATGGGCCTGCTGTAAACTGCCTTTATTATGTTTATGTATATATGTAAGGTATCTTTCTTGTATTCCTAATCTCTTGAATATTTCTATCATGAAGAGGTGTTGGATTTGGTCAAAGACCTTTTCTGCATCTAATGAAATGAACATGCAATTTTGTCTTTCAGTTTGTTTATATAATAGATTACATTTATGGATTTATGTATGTTAAACCATCCCTACATCTCTGGAATGAAGCCTCCCAGAGAGGCTTCATCATGGTGAATGATCTTTTTGATGTGTTCTTAGTGTGGTTTGTAATTTTTTTTTCTTTAGTTTTTCTTTTTTAATTTATTTTTTATATTAATTACAGTTTATTCGCTTTGTATCCCAGCTGTAGCCCCCTCCCACATTCCCTCCCAATCTCATCCTCCCTCCTTCATCTCCTCCCATGCCCCTCTCCAAGTCCACTGATAGGGGAGGTCCTCCTCCTCTTTCATCTGACCCTAGCTTATCAGGTCTCATCAGGACTGGCTGCATTATCCTCCTCTGTGGCCTGGCAAAGCTGCTCCCTACTCAGGGGGAGGTGGTCAAAGAGCCAGCCACTAAGTTCATGTCAGAGACAGTCCCTGTTCCCATTAGCAGGGAACTCACTTGGATACTGAGCTGCCATGGTTTGCAATTATTTTAATGAATATTTTTGCATCAATGTTCATGAGGGCAATTGTTCCATAATTCTCTTCATGTTGAGTGTTGGTGTTGTTGGGTATCATGGTGACTATGACCTCATAAAATGAACTGGGCAATGTTTCTTCTGTTTCTATTTTGTAAAATGATGAGAGAAGTATTGGCATTAACTCATCTTTGAAATTTTTGTAGAATTCTATGCTAAAACCATCTGGCCCTGGTTGGTTGTTTTGGGAGGGAGGCTTTTAATGACTGTTTTTATTTCATTAGATGTTATAGGTCTGTTTAAATTGCTTATCTGCTCTTAATTTAACTTTCATAGGTTGTATATATTGAGAAAAATATTGATTTCTTTTAGATTTTTCACTTTGGTGAAGTACATGTTTTCAAATTATGTTCTCCTAATTTTCTAGATTTCCCCAGTGTA